TTCTTTTGGCCTTTCAATAATTGAAATCTTATTAGTATTGCAAATGTGTTGCATGAAGTACAATATATTTAATATGTAACATCAATCCTCGATTATTACAGTAAAATTGTTAGTAAAAGATTATTATCGTTGCAACATATGGACTAAATGGGAATTGAAATTTTCTTTCTTTGCGCACATACTCCTTTTCTCATTTAGTTGTTCTACAAAAATTCGTTATACAAAAATTAAAAATAACATGGGCATATTTTACTTATATACAAGTTAATATACTAAATAGTTTAATCTGCAGTCTCTTTATTTCGATACAATACTGTGTCAATCCATGATTAAGTTTCATCGATCTCTCTCTATCTGAGCTTCGTATGAGAATTACCAAAAGATAATAGAATTTATCCACGAAAAGAAAAATTTATATACAAAAACATTTCCAATCTATATATCATAATTGGCCAATATTCATAGTCCGTTCTTATTTCAAAATCGTGTTAAAGTCATGTCTCAATGCTAATACTCTGTTAAGGTTCTGAGATTTATTTATAACATTTTAAAAGATTATTTATGACAACTTATCTTAAATATAAGAATTGACTATGAATACTGAACATTGTTCGCAAAAATATTAATAATAAATCTTAATGATAAATGTACATATACAATAAAATGACTAATATACACAATATAAAACAAAAATTGTTCTCGACAAATTAATAAACAGGAAGTACCAGGACCTTTGCAATTTACTGCTTGAGTAAGCTATACATATCACTTTTACAGTTAGAAAAATTTAAATGATATAAGAAATCTAAAAATTCTCGAATATAAAGATGATCGTGCAGCATAAATTCATTAACAAATATACTGTAACGTAGAATCATTATCTTTAATTGTGCCCCTATAAGATCTGAGATGTATCAGCCTTTTTTAATTCGTAACCTTCCTCTGAAATCTTCCTCAAAGTCGAATATTCATTAGGATTATGTGTATTCATCTGTATTATTGTACTCGCAATTAACAAATAATAACATACTTAAATATTCGTGCATAGCATACAATTATTAATAGATAAATGTAAGTATAAATGAAATATGTTCCCAAACTATTATCATTCACCTTATATTCCTTTACTTATAATGTTCAATTCTCAAATAATGTTTATAATCTCGTATAAAACCGAGATATACATGAAATATGAGAGTCAGGATTATTCAAAATCCCTCTCTGACTACAAGTCGAACACTCTCACACAGAGAGTCACAACACGTCACTTCATAATGATTAATAGATATTCTTCTTAAACATCTTAAATCTCATCGAAAATAAAATATTTTGGCCTTATACAATTCTTAAAAGGTGATGCTAATAATATGTCTTGCAGCGTTACATCGTGCTACAGTATTTGTATCATGTCCGATCAATATATCTGGTTCTAGACATGACTTTTTTTTCGTGTTGGTCGTCCCGCATTGATCGAGCAAGAATTACAAATATTGTAGTATTACATGTTATTCCTGTTATCGTTTACTTACATCTAGAGAGTTTATACACTCTCGGTAGGACTCTGAAATTCTGAGAGTGCATGTATAGGATTCTGCACTTTCTTCTGCGAACCTTTACGTACTTTCGCTCTAACTTCCTCGGGTCTTTCAGGACGTACTAATGGTTTCTTCTCTGGGGCTTTCATCTTCCATATGACGATAGGAGACTAATCAAAATATAATAAATTCTTATTATTATATATACATAATCTATATTTTTGTAATCATATCATGTTCAGATTATATTAATTATTTTGTCACTGTTATATTTGAACATATTTATATGCAATATAATATTATAATTTATAATATTAAATATAACTATAAATTTCTGAATCTCTAATATTTAATAAGATTATTAAATATTAAAGTTCTATAATATTTATATATGGATGATTTGTGTTAAACTGACATACTTACATACTGAAAATCCATATATATTAGTGTACAGCAAAAAAATTTCATAAAAAAAATAGGATACGCAATTAATTTTAAGTTTTAGATGGAAATATGTAGCATTTTTATTGTCAAAAATATTATATCTAGTACTGATAAAAGATAAAGAATATAGGAATAAACTTTAAAAGATGATAAATTATCTATCTAGTTTCTAAGAATAAATTAAATTGATAACATATCGAGCTGCTGCAGAATTAATGAATATTAATGCAACTTACCGTTACTGTAGATTGTCGTGGATACTTCGTTGACGCGACGTAGGAAGCTTTAACAGTAAGCACGACGGCGTTCATCAAATTTTTGGCAGCCTGTATGAGGGAAGTTGCGCTATCTAGGCCGGAAACGATCAACTCGCCACTGATATTCTGTACATCCGCCTTCACTTTACTTGTGATATTCATCTGGTGGCAATAGAGCGCTATGCGTTGCAAATATGCAAGGAGATCTTTTTTTGTGGAACTCTCTGGACACTGATCGGCAATCTGTCTGGTCAATTTATCCAATTTCGTGCCAGCTTCGGAGATCTTTTTTGCCGCGTTTATGACATCCATGGTAGTTTTCAAGGGGCCTCGACCACGAGTAAAGTCAGTCATCTCCATCATGATCATGCACATATGCTTAGCAAGAACAATGATATCATTACCAGCGTCATCCCATTTCGCTACCTCTTTGTCGAATTTGAGTTTCTCGCTTCTGAAGTACTCAACCTGCTGCAGAATCTTCTGTTTGTCCTCTTCTGGCATTTTTCTCATCGCTTCGCGGGCAGTGGTAATGCCACTGATCTCTGGATACTCATCCACACCGTGTTCTCCAGTCTGAGCACTAGACTTGCTGCGTGTTTCCAATGTGTAATGTTCGTCCAATTCCACATCTTCAGGATCCAGGTCTTCGTCCGCCTGAAAAATGACAGCGAGTTAAAATAATTACAATTTACAAAATTTAGACAGACATGATGACAGGTTTTCTTACTCTATTCATGAGCACAGCTCGCCTGATCTCACGAACTCCATCGTATACCAGTCTAGACGCATCAATGAAGTCATTCTCGTCCACTTCCTGTGCTGGATTACTGCGCAGCGCATTTACAGCCTCTTCCACTCGTTGCTCAAAATTGGGCATCACTTGTTTTCTCAGAACCTTTACCGCTTCGAGAACTCGCTTGGTGTAGATGCAAGGCTCATAGTTGTCCATCTCGGCCTGCACAACGTTACACACCCTAGCAGAACGACCGAGTATTGCGCCCGCATGTCTATCCAGAGTATCAGCGTCGCCGGGACGTACTTGTAACGCCAGGACACACTTGTTGACATCATCAAGGATATGATTCTCAGAAACCGCTAGAAAATCATCGATTGTGGTAATGTCGTCCACGGCCTCTGTCAAGACACGCATTTGATTCTCCCACGCTTGGCGGAACACCTTCATGTTGTCCTTTGCAACGTCCGAGTTTCGTGCGGCCCACACACGCGCTGCATTAATCACTTGCGGGCATAAGTTCTCGATTTGTGCAGCAGCATAACGAACCATCTTTACACCGTCTTCGTTGTTAGACATACTGCATACTAAATTGGCCACCTGTTCAAAGTAAACAAATAATCTTCTTGTCACACAAGATATTTTAAAATATTTGTGTATGACATATGTAAAATGTGTATTCAGATGAACATTTATTTAAGGATGTTTACCTCCACTAATTTATTCGCGTGCTCCGTGAAAATGAGCGCATATTCTTCCACTTCCTTGACCCAGCCTTTTTCTGCAGCTTCATATAGAGCTTGTAACGGTGCACTTGTTTCCAAAAAACTATCCGATACATGATCCACCACGGCTTTGCGCAACTGTCTACGAAGATCACGGGTCTTTCTACACATGTGATCTATCGCTCTTTCTAAGCCTTCAGATTGTTCCTTAACACCCATCTGTCAACATAGATTCATCACTTAATTTCGGTCAAACTCAAAAATATTTTTATATTTAAAATTTACAGCTATAAACAATTGCTTTATTCGACATTGTTAGTTTAAATCCGATTATAAAAACAAATAAATGTGTATATTATATAGGAGAAAGATACATAACCAAATCATCAAAATAATGTTATTAATATTAAATCGGAATAAAATATTTTAAAAAATATTATTTAATCATATGATAATTTTTATCAAAATGATTGCAGCAAGCGG